ATGCGGGGCAGACCACTTCCTGGGTGCTGCTTCCTCTCCTGGTGCACACGTTGGGTCGCGCTCTCTGGGCTGCCTGCCCATAGGTGCCTTTGTTCGAATTAGACCGGGGCACTTCGTAGAACTTCCAACTGTTGGAAAGCTGTCTTAATAAATGGATGGGTCTAGGCTGCTCAGCCTGTGATTGGTGCCCGGCTGGGGGCAGGTGGCGGGGGTGTGTGTCCTCACTGCATGGTGGTGCTCCAGAGCCCTGTCTGTTGTAATCACCATGAGTTGTCTGTATGTACTCCCTCAGCACCGTCTGTCTCACCAGGGCAGGTCGGCCACAACTGTTTTGTTTGCTCAGCTAAAGGAAGAACAAAGGTGCAAATACACGCCACACTCTTCTCTGGAAAAACAGCAGGGAAGGCGTACCTGGCAAGACCTTTTGCACTGAACGTTATGAATAAATTGTAATTCAGAGGCTTTTTTTTTTTTTGCACATCCCAGTATTTCTGAAACTCAGATATCTTACAGTGTATCGTGGTAGGTGAGGAGGGCACAGCCCCTGGAGCTGGACTGCCTGGGTCTGAATCCCCCAGATCTACCACTTACACACTTATTTGTGTGACTCTGGGCACATTACTTAACCTGTCTGTGCCTCAGTTTACTCATCTGTAAAATGGGATGATAGTAGATCCTACTTCATGGGGTTATTGTGAGAATTCAATGAATTATTATATGTGCAGTGCTTAGACTAGCACCGGGCACATGGTAGTAAGAGATACAAGTGTTAGCTGTTGTCAGTATGTTGTTACAGGCTACAAGTACGTTTAATATACTGTTATTTCTTCTTCACCCTGAAAAGATGTTTTAACCCACTGTGTACAGCCTACATGGATAGCATCTTGTGCTGGTGGCTGCGGACTGGCCCCGCGAGAGCGTGCGCTGCGGTCACACACGCTCTCCCGCCCACACCAGTACCAGTTTTCTGGTTGCTGCAACCAAACGTGCACAGTGCACAGACGGGGAACCAGCAGGCTTTGTTTTTTTTTCTTCTCAATATGGCAGAAGAGAAAGAGGGGAAAAACCACGGCCCTTTACAGATGAGGCTTGTTTTAGAATTTAAACTTCTTGTTCATCCTGTAAAGCTGGGACTGGTAATAAATCACGTCTGTGTGAAACCAGAAACCAGAGAGAACTGGGTTTGAAAAAGCAATTTTAATGTAAAATCTTTTTCTGATTGCTGGGCAACTTCCCTTTGATGATTTGCAAGGAGTCTGGGCTATAAAGTGGCAGAAGGTAATGACTGTTGCAGGGCTGTGTTCCCCTCAGAAGCCTCTGGGGCGTCCTCAAGTTAGACGGTAGATGAACATCGTCCCCCGGGTAGTTGTGGGTTTCTCCTGGTCTTCAGTGTTCACTTGTGGCTGTAATGCCACGTGAGAGCTGGGGTGGCTCTTCTGGGCATTTTCCCCCCCTGGTGTCTCACGCTCACTTAAGAAACTCCAGCTATGTGGGAAGCTGTGTGTAAGTCCCGCTCCCCACCCCACCCTGCTGCTCTCTTCTTCAAGTTAAGCAAGATCTGACTAATGCATTCTTTAGAGATGCTCTGACCATTTTCATTATGCGACTAAATGGCTCTTCCCAGATCATATTACTGTAATTGACTTCGCCTTCAGCTTTGAGAAATATTCCTCCCTAGTCTGTGGCACAGCTGAAACGCCCGCAGCAGTTGCAGGACATTGATTTGGGGTTTCAGCAGCCTTTTCTTAGCTGAACAAAAAGCAGTGTATAAGTGAATAATACAGGGATGATCTGAAAACTTCACCCTCTAATTTGGTACGTTTATCAAAACCTTGGATTTGATGATATCTCAGTGTAGAACCAGTCAACTTTAGCCCCGTTGGAGGGTGTGTTTAGTGATCAGTTCCCCAAAGGAGTGTCCACATGAGGAAGTTCGCCCAACAGGCCTTCTGACCTTCAGGATTCAGAAACGACAGGCAGGCAGTTGCTACCGCGCTCCGTATTCTAGAAGGCGGAGGAGCGGACAGTGAGGATGTGTTTACCTGGACTCAGATCAGCCAGTGGAGGGACCAGCGTTATCCCCAGTTCTGCACTGCGGTGCCTCCAAGCCCTTGAGATCATGTCACAGGCTTTATTTCCTTTGAAGTGCATACAATCCAAGGTTCAGTATTCAGACGGGGACATAAACATTTATGGTTATCTTTTCCTTTGTCTAAACCTGGAATTTCCATCTCTGCCCAAGATCGTGCTCTCTCTATCTCTGTTTTTGGAGAAATGTCAGCAAAGAAGGCAGAGGAATTTACTAAATCTCACCTGGGGTGAGGATTCCCTGATGCTCTGGGTGGTCAGAGCCAACTGGAAGCCCGCAGTCTGGCTCACAAA